CATAAATGCCAAAATCCTCAACAAAATATTAGCAATCTGGATCCAGCAATACATTAAAAAGCTCATATGCCATGACCAAGTGAGATTTATCTCAGGGATGCAAGGATGGTTCAATATAGTTAAATCAATAAACGTAATACACCACATAAACAAAATGAACAAAAAAAACTACATGATCATATCAATAGATGCTGAAAAAGTATTTAATAAAATCTAGTACTCATTTATGATAAAAACACTCAACAACATGGAAACAGAAGGAGCGTATCTCAACAAAATAAAAGCCATACACAAGGAAATTAACATCATATTCAATGGGCAAAACCTAAAAGCTTTTCCCTTAAGATCAGGAAGAAGACAAGGGTATCTGCTTTCATCACTCATTCAACGTAGTACTGGAAGTTCTAGCCACAGCATCAGACAAGAAAAAAAAATAAAAGGCATTCAAATTGGAAAGGAGGAAATCAAATTGTCATCACTTGCAGACAACATGATAGTATACACTGAAAACCCTACAGACTCCACCAAAAAATTACTCAACCTAGTAAGTAAATTCAGCAAAATAGTGGGGTACAAAGTCAATAATCAGAAATCGATGGCATTTTTTGTACACCAACAATGAACTATCAGATAGAAAAAGTAAGAAAAAATTCCTTTACTATATATAGCAAACAAGAAAAATAAAGTATCTAGGAATAAATTTAACTAAGGAGGTAAAAGTTCTATACTCAGAAAATTACAAAACACTGAAAAAAGACAATGAGAAAAATACAAATAAATGGAAGTATATACAATATTCATGGATTATAAGAACATCACTAAAATGTCCACAGTACCTAAAGCAATCTATGGATTCAATGCAATTCCTATTAAAATATCAATAGTATATTTCACTGAACTAGAACAAATACTTCAAAAATTTATATGGAACCAAAAAAGACCCCAAATAGTCTCAGCAATCTTGAGAAACAAGAATAAAGTTAGAGGGAGCACAATACCTGGTTTCAAACTATACTATAAGACTATTGTAATCAAAACAGTCTGGCACTGGCATAAGAAGACACATACACATCAATGGAACAGAAGAGAGAACCAAAAAATAAACCATGTCTCTATGGTCAATTACTATTTGACGAAGAGGGGATAAGCATACAATGGAGTAAAAATAGTTTCTTCAATAAATGGTGTTGGTCCCTTGCTGGTGTGGCTCAATGGATTGAGAGCCACCCTGTGAACCAAAGGGTTGCCTGTTCCATTCCCAGTCAGGGCACATGTCTGGGTTGCAGGCCAGGTCACCGGTAGGGGTTAAGCGAGAGGCAACCACACATAATCTTTCTTTCCCTCCCTTTCTCCCTCCCTTCTGCTCTCTCTAAAAATAAATAAATAAAATCTTTAAAAATAAATAAATAAATGGTGTTGGGAGAACTAAACTGTTACATGTAAGAAAATGAAACTAGCAACTTACACCATACACCATAATAAACTCAAAATGGATAAAAGATTTAAATATAAGTCCTGATATGATAAAAGTCCTAGCAGAAAACATCGGCAGTAAAATTTCATATATCCCAAGTAGTAATATCTTTTCTGATATATCTCCTAAGCAAAGGAAATAAAGGAAAAAATAAACAAATGGGACTACATCAAGTCAAGAAGCTTCTGCACAGCTATAGAAACCATCAGCAAAATGAAAAGGGAACTGACTGTATGGGAGAACATATCTGCCAATGATACTTTGGACATGGGTTTGATCTTCAAAATATATAAAGAACTCATAGGACTCAACACCAAGAAGACAAACAATCCAATTTAAAAATGGGTGAAGGACCTGAATAGACACTCCTTCCAGGAAGACATACGGATGGCCCATAGATATACAAAAAGATGCTCAACATCACTAGCCTTCAGAGAGATGCAAATTAATATCACAATGAGATACCACCTCACACCTGTCAGAATGGCCTTCATTAACAAATCAACAAACAACAAGTGCTGGTGAGGAAGTGGAGTAAAGGGAACCCTAGTGCACTGTTGGTGGGAATGCAAACTGTGCAGCCACTGAAGAAAACAGTATGCAATAGGCTCAAAAATTACAAATCAAACTGCCTCCTGTCCCAGTGATTCCACTGCTGGGACTATACCCTAAGAATCCCAAAACACCCATTCAGGAGCACCTAGGCACTCCTACATTCATAACAACACTATTGACAATAGCCTAGTGCTGGACACAATCTAAGTGCTCCAAACAGCCTAAGTTAAGTGCCCATCAGGAGATGATTGTATCAAAAAACTGTGGTACATTTACACAACTGAATACTATGCAGCAGAAAGAAGGAACTCCTACCTTTTGTGACAGCATGGATGGAACTGGAGAATATTATGCTAATTGAAATGAGCGAGCCAGTAAAAGACATACTATATGATCTCACTTATAAGAGGAATCTAATGAATAAAATAAACTAATGAACAAAATAGAAGCAGATTCATGTAAACGTGGAACAGACTGACAACAGCCAGATAGGATGGGGGAGGGGATAAGGGTGGAAAGAAGGGGAAGAGACTAGTCAAAAAACATGCATAGCCCTGGCTGATGTAGCTCAGTAGATTGAGTGCAGGCCTGTGAACCAAAAACGCGAGGTTCAATTCCCAGTCAGGGCATATGCCTGGGCTGCAGGCCAGGGGACACACAAGAGGAAACCATACATTGATATTTCCTTCCCTCTCTCCTTCCCTTCCTCTCTAAAGATAATAAAATATTTTTAAAAACATGCATAAATGACCCATGGACATGGACAACAATGTGGGGACTGACTATGGGAGCGACAGAGGGCCTGGGAAAAGGAGGGCAAAAGACAAAAAACTGGGGCAACTATAACAGAATAACAATTTTTAAAAACCAAATAATGAAGGAGATAATCCTAGAAGCAGCAAGAGATAAGGGGACAGTCACCTACAAAGGACTTCCCATCAGACTGTCAGCTGATTTCTCAAAAGAGACCTTACAGGCAAGAAGGGGCTGGAAAGAAGTATTCCAAGTCATGAAAGGCAAGGACCTACATCCAAGATTGCTCTATCCAGCAAAGCTTTCATTTAGAATGGAAGGGGCAAATAAAGTGCTTCTTCCCAGACAAGGTCAAGTTCAAGGAGTTCATCATCACCAAGCTCTTATTATATGAAATGTTAAGGGGACTTATCTAAGAAAAAGAAGATAAAAAATATGAACAGTGAATGGACAGCAAACTCACAGTTATTAACAACCACACCTAAAACAAAAGCAAATTAAGTGGACACCTAAAACAGGAGTGGAGCCACAGAAAAGGAGATCACATGGAGGGTTATCAACAAGGGAGTGGGAGGAGGAGGGGGGGGAAAAGGTACAGAGAATAAGTAGCATAGAAAGTGGGGAGAAAATAGGGGGAGGGCAAGAGTAGTGTGGGAAATGTAGAAGCTAAAGAACTATGACACGTGGACATGAACTAAAGGGGGAGGAGTTGTGCAGGGTGGAGGGGAGTGAAGGGAGGGGAATGAAAAAACTGTAATGGCATAATTAATAAAATATATATTTTAAAAAGAATAATGTATTAAACAAAAAGTCATTAAAAGTTATAAAAACATCAAAAAAAAAGAAAGAAAGAAAGTAATCCCACAGGGAGATCTCATCATGAATTCCTAAATGGGCAGGACATGATAGGTATTCACACCACAGGCATGTAACTGCTTTAGTAAAATCTTTGTCTTAAGCCATCCCTGTCCATTATTTCTGTACACCTAGGTGAACACACCTGTGAAATGCCTCTTTTCAGAACCACCCTCCAGAGAGCACACAATCTTCTTAACTATCCTATAATCCAATACCCTGCCTTGTTTCTCTGACTTTCACGTCTTTAAATTTCTTTAAATTCCCTCTTTAATCCCAAATGCATGAAGGAAGTTACAAGCTGCCATTCTGAGAAGCATTTTTCTCTGTGTGTTGAGATCTTGCTTCCAAGCATATGCTCTGTTTGGTTCAAATAAGTTTTTATAAAAATTCTCCAAACATTTTGAATTTCTTATATCAACAATATACAAAATGCACTACACTTAAAGTGTTAATTGGACTTCATTCAAATTTAAAACTTTAAAACATACCATTAGGGAAATAAAAAAAGAAGCCATACATTACGAGAAAACAGTCATGATGTATATCAGGCAAAAGGTTCATATCCACAATATATAAAGAACTCCTACAAATCAGTAACATAAAGTCTAACAACCCAATCTGAGCAAAGATATGAACAGACACTTCACAAATGAAAGGACAAGGCTGGAGCCATTTGCTACTGTGGTGTCATTTGCCAAGCAGGCCTATACCTTGTTAAACATGACTGCCATTTAACTCTTCTGAGCTTATATCCCCAGGATCAGAAAATTATGGACAAGCAAGAACAAAATGTAACTAACCACTCCCCACAGCCACAGGCAAATAACATTGGAGCAAACTGTAGCTTACGCGACACTAAACAAAACCTCCTGTACTGCAATGCCTCTAACAGCCCAGGAATCCACAACAGAGACACCCCCCTCAACCCTTTATACCCAGTAAAAAACTCAAAACCCCAACGCCTTAGGGCTGGAATAATTCTCCATGTGAGAATTATTCTCAACCACGAGACAGACGGAGATGAGATACGGGGAACCTGAATGTTACCCTCTATTTTCACCCAAAGTAAATCTTACTACGCCACAACCGCCCATACATGGGTCCCTGGAATGCTTTCCTTGGGCCTCTGAAACAACACAATTTCCAACTGGCAAAACAAGTACACTCATGGAGTGAGGAAAGTGGTCTGCATCTTAATTGGAGTAGCAGATACAAGTTTGTCACATCCACAAAAATTTGCTGAACTCATTTAACAAATTCATTTAAAATCATTACATTTTTATTAAATGTAAATTATACCTTTAAAATGGTAACATTGACTGCATATAATAGCCACACAAAAAATGCAAAAAACAAATACCTTTGTCCACCTGCAAAGCTTCACCCCAGAATGGCTCCCGATCAACTGATAACCTAAATGGAAAAACAGAGAACACAAAATTGAATTGATTTAAGGCCTCATATCAAACAGTGATTATAAAACAAGCAAAATCATTTTTCTTTGCTTAAATAATGATAGACAACAATCCAGAGGCAGAAAACATTAAAAGTTTAATTCACTAGGATGACAAAACTATTTAAAATGTGTACGTACCTAATAATACACACTTAACAATACATAGAGACAACAGGCTAACCTGAGATCATAGGGAGAGATTTTAACAACTCTCAGTATTGAAAAGATCTCACAGACCAGTCAGTAGAGCTCTAAGGTCTACAGAGTGAACTAAGTCACAAGGACACACAGCACTGCACTCAACAGCTACCAAAATGCTTTTCAAAGATGCAAGAAACATTTATAAAAATAAACTGTATGCTGGGCCATTAAGTAATAGCTGTATGCTGGGTTAATATATTTCAAATGAAGAATCAGAGGGGCAATAAAGAAAGAGGGTTAAAATGAAGAAATATTGCCCCCCCAGAAGTGGAAAAATCAAATTCTAGGACCTACAACTTCACATGAATTCTCAGCACCACTCTATAACCTACCATTTAGAATTTTGAGCCATATAAGACTTGAAAAGCATGGCAAAACCATTCCAAAGTAATCATATTCCCTTTTATAGCAAACTAATAGAGACAACAAGAAGGACATTCTGATTCCAGAAACGTCTAATAAAGCTTCCCATCAGGCTTCAAGTAATAAGCCATAATTAGCATGAGTTCCTTGCACAAAAAGACTCTTGACTTGTAGACAAATAAAGCAAATGGAGACACACCATCTGGAGGACAGCATAAGTGGATCGGTGGCTGCTTAAACATCCACGTTCACAGTGTGATGATTAATGGGACAACGTCACTTTGGATGATAAGTCTCTAGTGACAACATTACAGAGCTCTGTCTTTTATCCTCCTCCACATTTACGTCAACATCCTGAATACAAATAAACAAAGCAGTGCTTATCTAATTGAAGATGAAACTGAGTCCAACTGAATACCTAATCTCAGACAGAGAATAAACATTTAAAAGATTCCCAGACAAAAGTCTAGTTTTTTTGGACTACTACATTATGTGTTATTCATATCACTATTACAGAAACCACACAATTACATTATATTATATAATAATATTAGTTCTTTATATCATTCTCTCTCAAGATACATAGGGTTCTACAAAATTTTGCATTTAGACAGGTATGAAAACACTGCACAGTACAGAATGGAGAAACCTGTGGCTGACCACACCGAGATAAGCCAACGTTATGCAGTCGTTGAAAATCATAGTACAGTATTCTGCTTCTAAACAAGTTGGAGTAACAGATGGTTTCCTCTCCCAACAGAAACACCAAAATAATGGACAAAATATATAAAACAACGGTTTTCAAGATAAGACACACAGGCAACAAAGAATGGCGATCTCAGAGAGATGGGAACCACAGAAAGCAAACCCTACCATTACCCAGTCTTCCTGACTTAAAAGTTTCCAGGCCCTGCAGCAGGAGGCAACTGACAGCTCAGTGTTCTCCCTTAGCTGAGGACCTGGCAGTGAGAGCATGAAGAGCCCACATGGCTCGAGTGTGCAGGGTTGAGTACCTGAGAGATAAAAGCTACACAGAGACTGAAGTCGAGGGTCTGCAGGGGAACCTTACAAGTATTTGCCTGTGTACTGCTTAGTGCACACGTGAAAGAAAACTATCCATGAGTGGGAACAAACCGTACTGACAGGATTAGAGGTATGACTGGTGCTCGCGGTCAGCTGGGAGCTGTGCCTGTTCCTGCCAGCCGGCCAGGAAACCTCAAGATTCACAAGGTACTGGGCAGAGTACACAGGAGTGTTTTGCCTCAATAGGGGGAAATAATTACGGTAGCTATGTACAAAGCTGTGTCTGATCTCACCTAATAAGTCATAAAAGATCAAAAGGCTGGAAATTATTTCCAGGAAACTTTTCTTGCTCCCAGAACAAAGCTCAAGAATGCATATGGAAATTCAAAACTATCTAGCACCCGATATGGTAAAATTAGATCTGCCATCCAATCAGAGATTACCAGCAGGTACACAGATAGGAACACATGACCAATAATGAGGAAAACAACCTAGCAACCAAAAGGGACCCAGAAATGACCCACGTGTCAGCAGATCAGAACATTAAAAGTTATGACTGTGTTCCCTAGGTTCGAAAAATTACATAGAAACATGAAAGATATAAAAAGACCTAAAATGACCTTCTAGAAATGAAAACTACAATGTCTAAGCTAAAATGTATACTACTAGATAGAATTGATAGATTAAAAATTAGGGGAGAAATGATTACTAAATTATATTTGCAGACACAGCAATGGGAACTATCCAAAAATGGAAAGTAGGACAGGAAAAAAAGAATTTTAAAAGACCTAACAAGCATCAGTGAGTTCTGGGTCAATTTCAAGTAGCCTATGATACATGTAATCGGAATTCCCAAAGAAGAGGAGAGAAAAGAGGTGACAGAAAAATATTTGAAGAAATAATGGACAGAATGTGTCCCAATCTGACTAAGCCTGTAAATCCACAGAACCAAGAAGTTCAAGAAATCCCAGGTAAAAGAAACATGAAGAAAACTACACTGAGACACATTACAATGAGATTGCTCAAAATCAGTACTTTGGAGAAAATGTTCCAAGTAGCCAGGGAGTGAAGAAAATTACATTCACAGGTTCGAACAAAAGACGGCTACAGAGCTCTCAACAGAAGCAATGTGAACAAACAGTGGGACGACATGACAGTGAGTCGCCAACCTCCAATTTGAGGTCTATCAAAATATCCTCCAAAAATGAAGGCAAAGTAAAGCCTTTTTGAGATATACAAAAGCTGACACAATTCATCACCAGCAAATGCACACCGTAAGAAATGCTAACATAAGTCCTTCAGGAAGAAGAAAACGTTATCAGAGAGAACTCAGATCTACACAAAGGAATGAAGAGCTGCAGTAGTCAATACAAACTGTTTCTAATTATTTAAATATTTAGTAAATAATTGACTAAACCAAAACAAATAGTAACAATATAGTTTAGGGATTAAAATTTATGTAAAGAGGGAAGGTATGATAACAAGTGCACAGAGGTTGAGAAGGAGGAAAAAGAAGAACACTATTGAAGGCTGCTCACTGCACATGAAGTGGTACACCACCACACAAAGGCATTCTATGAAATGACAGGAGACGTGGTATGAACCTCAAACAGCCACGAAACAGCAAAGCAGTGCAACGTCTAATAATCCAACAAAGGACATAAAATGGAATGATTTTAAAATTTATTTTAAACAGTCTATATATCTGAATTAAAAGACAGAATTTATATATATTATGTGCACAATATTTATATCTATAATATTTATACAATACATATTACATATATATAATCTGTAATATTATCTGTCTCTAACAGGCTAACAATGGTTTCTTGAAGGAAATACTGCATTATGTTTCTCTGCATTGCCATAACTGTCACATAAAAGGTCCTCAATAAAAACAGAAAGAGGGAGGGAGAGAAGTAAGTCTGTTGTCTCCCAATTCTCTCTTCTATAGAAAACCAGTATTATGTGTATGTTCAACAACAGTCTCCTTAATAAGGAATGACCATGAAAATTCAGACATACTTCTAGATAAAACATTTCTAATTAGCCCAGAGTTAAATCAATATTTTTTTCTGTATGTAATAATTTTCCCTTAATAAACAGTGATCAGTAAAGAAGCCAGTGATGGCATTTTCTGTCTGCCTACCTGAGCCACACAGATGCTAACGTCCCAATAAACCAAGCAAAGAGGACTTTGCTGGCCCAGGCAGCCAACACACAAGTGCGTCACAGACATATGACAGTGACTCCTGAGACGGCTACACTGACACAGTAACACAAATGCTGAGCAGCAGAAGGGCTTCATTACCTACCTTCCCCTTGGCAATCTTTATTTTATGCTTCTGCTTTTAGGTATCAATTTAGAATGCTTAAGGGTGTAGCATTATAACAATTCTCAAGGGGTTTCTCACCTTGTTTAGTAAGGGCTTCTCGGAGAGCAGGAGTTATCATAGCTCTTCTTTCACTGGCTTCATTCTTCACCGTGTTCCTGAACAAACCAGTTTTCTCTTCCTGCTGCTCCTTTTCTCTCTGTATTAAAACAAGAAGAATGAAAGCCAGAAATGGCAATGTGCAATGGAAATAACAGCACAACAATCAGAACAGGCAGCGTGGATAAAAAGCTTCATTGTGAACCATGGCCCACAACCCTGTTCTCTCTGAAGTGATCACATTCCCAGTCAATGATCTTTATAAAGACAAGCCAGTCTTTTTTTTCCCCAAAAAGGTAACTACATACTCAAATACATACACCCACAAAACTTATATTAATAATCATGTGTCTATGTGTCAAATATTTCAGTACACTGAAACAAACCGCTGCGTAACTTAACTTCAGCAACTTATTTCTCTGAGTTTCAATTTCCTCACCTGAAAAATGGGAAACGTTGTATCTATGGAGCAGGAATGTAGTGAAGATTAAATAAAACGAAATCACCTGGCACAGTGCCTGATACGTAACAGAATTCAGTAAATTACAGCTGTTACAGGTTATTGCCTCTGCAAACCCCAAACACGAGTCAAAAGAGCACTCTGGGCTGCCCAAACATCTGCCCGGCAACCAAGTCACTCTGCCACCTACAGAGGCTGCCCCATTGGCTTCTTTTAGAAGATCCCATGAGGAAAATTTGTCTTCAGTGACAGAAAGAAATCTGAAGGATAAAACTGATTGTGTTTCCTTCTGACTCTGACCACTAGAAAATTCCGCAGTATACCTCCAATCATTGTGTAAGGTCTTGCATCATGCCTCTCTTGTAGTTTCTGTAAATGGCTTCAGATTATAAAATGACCCTCATCCACCCTTTGCACTGATTTCTTCCTCTTTCTGAATCCTATTATGTGTATATATCTTTTTAAAAATTATCTCAATGCCTTGTTGAAAGATGGTGGAGGGCTAATCACTATTTTCTAAACAACCCACAAAGCCTGTGCTACACTTTAAAGAAATCACTCAACAGACCTAAGAGCTACAGAAATTCAAACCAACTCGCGTCAGCAGCAGCCCTACCACTAAGCCCTAGACCACCCTCAGTGCCTGCCCGTTTCCAAGGTCCAACCCCCAGGGAACCCACGAACAGACTCACAGCAGCACCCTCTCAGCCTAAAAACGGAAACACCTCACGGATGACATGATGTCTGCGATCCGCATCAAACTAATACAGAAGAGAGGACGGTTCGAGTTTGAAGCCAGGCAACAGGTGATAGGGATTCACGGTGTCCTTCTGTCTACTTTTGTGAACATTCAGTGTTCTCTATACATAATATGTAAAGCAGATTAAATGTTTTTTAAACCGAGAAAGGTAAACTGATTAAATTCAGAGTTAACTTTTTCTCTACCTCCTCTGTTATTTTAGCAGCTTGCTCTGAAATAGGACGTCCATGAAAAAGCACTTTAGTGTGGTGATTGCTGAGGGGAGAGGGTCTAAGGCGACTAAATGGTAATGGAAAAAATATATAATAAAAATGAAAAAGAAGCACTTTCAAGAGTCAAATGTACCAAATGATAAACAAACCAAGTTAGTCTGATCTGTCCTAAAGGTCAGCATTCTGGACTACTGAATATAATCAAAATGCAAAGTTAATGAACAATTTAGCTTCTGTTAGCAGAGTTCTCAACTGAACATTTTCAGATGGAACTGAACGTACAAACAAACATCAATCATTTGTTCTTCTCTATCACAAAAGTAATGTTTGATGCTGGGCATTTTTAATAAATTAAAAGGATCCGGTTATTATTTTAAGATTTTTTTTAAAAAAGAATCCTTTGCTTTTTTTTGAAGTCTATTTCAGACCTAAAATCAAAGAAGTGAGCTGTAAAGGAAGTCTTGTGGTGGAGCAAAATGAAACCAACCTTGACCTTGACTGCACTTAAATGTCTCTGAAATAATTCCACAGCAAGTTACTGTAAGTCCCTATTAATGATGCAAGTAATGAAAGGAGGTGGCAGCATTCACTCTGGAAAGCCACTGTCACCACAAAACGTCACCAGCTGACTTGCTTACCACAAAGGCCACATACACCAAACACTGGACCCAGCCCATGACACTGGCCTCTGGTCACTGTGCTCAGAGCTCTACGGACTCCCTCTTGTAGCAAAAAAAGGAAAAAACAAAAAACCCTTCTGACCTCTATGAAATTAATATACTCTTAAAAGAATGGCGATGGAACACAGTCCGTGTCCCAGCACTACAGAAATTATCTATTATAAAATGTGAGTGCAGCTACTCCAGAATCAATAATTCAGACACAAAGTTAATACAGAAAGAGATCAGAGGCTATGATTAAAAGTCTTGAACATTCATGAAAAACAACATTTATCACTCTTTGCCTCTGTGGAGTTGAGTCCTATCTTCCCCATGCAGCAGCAACTTCATTTCTGAAAAGAAATACAACGGTTCATAACACTCCCAAAGGAAGTCAAAGCACCATTCAAATTCTAATTCCAATCTCCTATCAGCAGACATTGTTCACTGTTTGCCTAGATCATAACAATAAAACAATATAACAAGTACTAGAACCTAGGAATTGTTATTTTTTTTATAGCTGTTACACAGCCTAAGCAGAAATAAATAAAGAACCCAGAATTGGTCAACCTTCCTTCACTCCTCTCTCTCCTGTACACCAATTTAACAAGGTTCTCATTCCCAGCAGCACAATGTTTTCCGCATCTGCAATGCCACTGCTTTTGCCTGAAGCCCTGGTTTCTTCTAAGGGAAAACTGCAACAGCCGAACAAACGAAACAGTCTGCCTGTCTCCAACCCCTACTGATACCCCTTCCCCAGCTCCCAAACCCACCACACTTGCCTGGAAAGAAAACACTTGCCCTCTTCAAGCTGCTGTTTCCCAACATGCAAAAGAAAACCTGATTATAAGGTAACTAACTTCCTAGGCACTTGGGAATACGAATATATGTGAGTGAAAAGTTCTTTATAAACAAAATAGGCTATATGGATCTTATGTAATAATGGGACCAAAAAGTGGTACTAATTGTTTTTAAAGACATTACACAATATTACCTAACTCATTTTCATACCGTCATCCCTGAAACCACAGTACTACCCCAAAAACTGCCTACAATAGAAACAAGGCAAAAAGGTGATTTGTTAAAGATCTTAAGGTAAAATGCCATGTGGTTGGACGATGACAAAAAGGTGTTTTACAACAAACAAGCTTTTCATTACCATGTGTACATTTCTTCTGGGGGCGGGGGGGAAGTGCTCCTAGTTGTTCGTTTAAATCTGTTTATTTTATTGATCCTTGTTTACCATCTGGTAATGCCCCTCTTTACCAATTCACGCAGAAGATGCTGGATACCAAATCTCCAGGTCATTTTTCTGTACGGCCAGTCTAAGCCTGGAACCATGCTAGTGTAGGGTGGGCATTCAGAGTGAACGTTGGCCAGTATACAAACAAATGACTCAAAACCACCAGGCAGCTACTTCTAGCTCTAGAAAAACAGATCTCACTTCTTTCAGTAACTCAGTCGAGATCTCACAACTTTCAACATCAGAGTCTTCTGAGGGTCTGATTAAAACTCCACCTGCTGCGATTTAACCCCATGTCGGCAGGTTCCTCTCTCTCTAATAAAGGAATCCCCTACAAACCACTCACTTGTCAGAGCTCAATTTTTAAATGACCAATTTTCAACAGGACTCAAAGCTTTTTGTGTGTGCTAGGTTTTAAGGATGCTTTGTGAACTTTTTGAAGCAATTTGACTGGGTGTGTCAAGAGCTCTTAAATGGTTTCCTCTGGCCCAGTGATTCTATTTTGTATAACCTGACTTAAGGAGTTCACTCTTAAGTTCACGATTAAGGAGTTCACTATAGGCCACGGGGAGCAGGCTGATTTACAGGCAGTTTCTTGAAGTTGAAAGGATGTCACCTTTTGTTTCTGTGAGAGTTAAAACACTAGAAGCCCTAAAAATAATTATGAAAGGAGAACTAGCTTCATTTTACTCCCCTGCTGTATTCTGCAACTTTATCATAGAAACTGGACACACTGAAATCCTTTTGTAAATGGAAATATTTCTCCAGTGAGTAATTACCAAGCATTCACCATTTATTTCCAATACTGATGATACTGATATCACTGTTTGTCTGCTTAACCAGAACACGCTGTGGGGAGTACTTAGCAATATTTACTTACTGCAGGAAAAAAAATAGCAATCCCCTTTACATTTACAAATCATCATAACACGAGAGAAACAGAAAATAAGCAAACTAAAATCATCAGGCCCTTCCTGACTCATTGTTCTCCAGCCACCTGACTTCAAACATGCTCCTCAGCCTGTTCCACACCCTGTGGGATGGGAAGTGAAGATGAGGGCAGCATGGGTATCAGGGCCATCGCGAGGGCTGAGTGGGATAACCCCACGTGCACTCTGATTTCTGCTAACACTCTGGACCTGCACGCTGAAACATCCTCCCTCCCCACACCCCACCGACTCAACCTACCCAATCACGTGAACACCTGGTTTCCCACGGCCATTAGAATAAAGCTCACACCCAGTGACAGCACGTGAAAAGGCCTCCAGGGTCCTGCCCCATCACTTCTCGGCCTTTTGGCTAGGATCAAGTGCAGAATCCTGCCCTTGCCTTCCCTATTTCACATCTCTGCACATCTCCATCCCCTCTGAACTCTACACATACAAAACGCTGTTCACAGTTCCCCAAAACCTGCTGTGCTCCCTAGAGGACCACCCCCTCTGTATCTGTCCTCCCAGCTTCCCAGTGTTTCAAACTCTAGCTCTCTTGTTTTTGAACATCGCTCCCACCCTTCAATTTCTGTTCAGCTTTAGAATTACTGTCTTAGACCTCATTACCAAGGCAGGGAGGCAGACACCATGGTGGTATAGTCAAACCAAACAAAGCCCATCTGAAGACACCTTTTTATACAATAACAGTTAATAGTTATTAAGTACATACTATGTGGCAGGTGAAAAAGTAAAGGCTTTAGATAGATGAACTTATTTAATCTTGTGGACACCGAGAAAGAAGATACCTATCAAGGACTCCTGGTGGCTAACTGGCTC